CCAAGTGGTCCATCCATCAAACCCACTTGTTAAATAAATGTGGACTGTTGAGTTAGGAAAATTATATATGCACACTGTAGTTGAGAGTCATAGTGTAAAGTTATATATGCTGATATTTCCTGTCATCTCTACCAACAGCATGGGAAAAGACAGGATAGGCACTAGACTGAGACACTAAGAGAGTGATATTTATTATTTTATTCTGTTGAGAAAGGGATTTCCATGACAGTAAAAGGTGGTTTCTGTTCATCTGAAAGAGGTTTACCATTCCAGCACATTCCCCTCCCTTTTAAGCTCAGAAAGAGGGATTAATGAATGTTTGGCTTCAGTAGGTCCTCAGTCCTGTTAATAGTCCAACATGCTCAGCAGCTGGTTGTTCCAAGAGTCAGAGTTTGGGGACAATCTAGTGACTGAATCTGATGAAGTTACTCATGTTGCTTAGCTGGGATCTAGCTCCTGGCTGATGGGAGAAATGCCAACACTTTATACAAGTAAGATGACATAACTCGAAATGCAAGAAAATGTGCCATCTTTTACAGTCCAAATTATAGGAGTGGAAAATGATCGTGATGATGATAGCGAGGTAGCTTCAGCTGATGTTTATCTCCTAGCATTTGCTGAACATTGACAACTAACAGATTACTAGCTGTCCTTGGTACTGGACACTACTGTTACCTGGAGATTCACACACCTCTTTGTAAAGAAAAAGCATTGGTTTTTTTTTCACTGAATTAATCTGTCATTTTTAAGGGTTTTTCTTTCTTTTATATGTTCTTTTTTTCGACCGAGTTGGCTTTGGGATTCCTTAATGTTGCCCATTTCTATGTTTTATCCAAGAATTAGGTGCAGATCCAGAAGCTGTCAATATGTTTTCATGCCAAACCAGAGTAGGATTGCTAAGAGATGAGCAACGGGCTTAATAACCTCTTCAAAAAGAGAGTGTGTTAAATGTTGGCTCTATTTCTTCCTCTCTAGACATGCTGGGTGCCCGCCTGGAGTTGGAGGGAGATGCAGCCCTGTCCAATGATGCCTGCCTCTGCTATATCTCATCAGGCAATGTGGAGAGGTTGGTGGAATGCTGGGTAAAAAACCATGAGACCTCATCACCCCTTGCCCTGCAGGTACAAGTGCTATAATGTTAGTTTGACTCCTCTTTAGGCTGGTCTGGTAGCCCTGATCTGTTTGCATTATCCCATCAAACACTATCTGCTTCCAGCCTGTTTCCAGTGGAGGCCTGTTTGTAGTCACCAAGGTACCTCCTTCTACCCTGGATTATGGGCATTTTGGGCTTACATCTAAGGGAGACTTGCACTCAAATGTTAAGTGTTTGTGGGTTTACTAACTACTGATTAGATTGCATATAAATCCACCATGGACAGGAGTTACGACCTACCTGCCTGTCTTTGTATGCTGATGTCATCTCTGAGCTTCCTTTTAGTCAGAGAAGTTTAGAGTGTACCTGTTGTCTTACTGGTAGTTGCCTGGAAGTACCTTTGCTGCTGTACTTAATGTCTAACCGTAATGCTCCAGTTATCTGGCTGCACCTTCAGAACAGCCTCTGGCAAAATGAAATAAAGCCTGAACTGTGTTATTCCCACTGCAAGTAGAATGATCATATATGGGAAGTCACAGTTTACAGATTAATTGGGGCTTCTAAGTCGGTGTTGTTACTTACCTGTTTAAATGTGACAGCTAAGTCACTAACCCCTGTTGTGTCCACCAGTGGCTAGAATGAGCTAGACAAATCTTCCACTCATATCTCTGCAGATAATGCCCTCTGCTACAGAGTTCCCTGGTTTGGCAACCCCACTAGTGAATAACAGCAACAAAAATCATTCCTGATTATGTTTGAAACTGACCTCCTCCTATTTGATGTCAGTTATCAGCCAATGATGCATTTATCATTCTACAGATATAAACATTACTTTGATTTCTAGAAGTTGAAGGAGCTTTGAATAACTGAAAAGCTTCTGGTCTATTTGTCAGCACTAGCAGTTTTTCCTAGTGAATTTCTCCTGGTATGTTTTTAATCCTTCCTCTTCCAAGCTGATAGCTTGTAACTCCTACAGTTACAGTAGTAACTTCCTAGTAAAAAGATCACAGTTGATTGGAATGTCCTTGTGGCTTCTGGTTTTCTTTTTGTCTTTACCATAAAAGTAGCAGTGTCATGTTTTGCTTCCCGGTTCCTGTTTTTCTCCGTGAAGTGCACCTGAGGAAATCAGTGGTAGTATCTGGTGCAGACTAGCATAACTGGTGTTCACATTGGACCCCATGTCAGTTGAAAATAGGGAAAGCCATCTGGTATTGCCTCAGCATGAGATGGAACAGTAAAGCAAGTCAGATTCTGAGTGGTCTGGTTTTTCCCTCCCCCTGGCTTATTCAGGATCTCATAGAGAAGGTGATGGTGCTGAGCAGGTCCATTGAGATGCTCCGAGGCACAGCAGGACCAGCGCCAGGCCCTGTCTTGGCAGAACGAATCACCCAATATGCCAATCTCCTGGCATCACAAGGTTGCTTGGCAGCAGCAATGAATTACCTACCCAGCAGCTCTAAAGAGGTGAGTAAGAAACAGGTTGTTGTGGGAAGGAGTAGTATATTGGGAAAAATGATGCTTTGTACAAGAGAGAGCTTTGATTTTGACATGCATCAGGACTTAAGGTTTCACTTTAATTATGGTAGCTTGAGAGTAGAGGTATGGTGTGTTTTGTTTGGTGGTGGTGGTGGGTTTTTTTCCCCCTACGACACAGCGTTTGTCTTTGTTTGCTTTTTCTTTGTAGTGCCTTTGATTCAGGGAAAAGGAAGGGAGCTGTAGAACTGTAAAATAGTTCCTGGAGAACAACACTGGGAAGCAGCTTTCCAGGGAACCTGCATCTATTCCTGAAACTAGCTGATAGAAGGGAATGGGGAGGGCACCCTGTTGTTTGAAACAGATCTGTCTAGTGCCCAAATGTGGGTAGGAGTTGGAGAGAAAAAAGTCTAAAGATTAGGGGAAGGATTGGTGAGACTTCACCTGCCTGGGAATATGGCAGGTGATGTCCCAGGTTCTCTTACATACAGTTTTGTGAGTTGTTGGTTTGTTTATTTTTTTGTTTGTTTGGTTTGGTTTTCATGGTGTTTTTTTTTCATTTCTGGTGGCTATTGGGGAAATGGTTAGTTTTGCAAGTTGATGCTCAGTGATTTGGGTCAGGTTCTGCTTTGAATGCCTCTCCAGCACCTTCCATCTGAGACTCTTAAGGCACTTCTCCTAAAGCATAGTTTGTTTCAGCTCCTGATCGAACAGCTCCGGGACCGGCTTTTCCATGCTCAAGGAGAGAATGTGGGTGATCAGCAGCCACCCCCTTTTCCCTACGCTCGTGTCAATGTAGGTGTCATTAAACACACATCTCCAGCAGCCAAGGGTGGTCCCACCCCTGAAGGAGCAACCCACAAAATAGGTCCCAGACATCCAGAGAAGGTAGGCCTTAAACTCAGGTGTTGATGGCTTGGGGAGGGGGAGGAAGGCTTTACTAGGATGTGGAAGGCATATAAAGTGATATAAGATGACACAGATTGCAGGCATTGAGGAACTTACCAATTGGGTTTCTTCACTGGAGCAAACACAAGTTCTGTGATAATCCAAAAGCAGACTGTCTGGCATCTTTTCACAAAGCCCTGTCCCATGTGTGACCACTGGAGGAGACTGTTACAAGTGCAGTGATCCACTGAGATCTCACATACTGAGGGAAAAGGGGGCAGTCGTTCACCCTCCTATGCCCATCTCACTCTCATATCTCAGTAAAATCAGTGTAGTATGGCTTGATCTCAGTTCTTGCATGAGAAAACGGTTCAGGAAGTTTTCCTTCCAGCCTCTATTATTTCATTATTCCTTTGTTATTTCCTCTGGTTGTACTTCCAGGAAATCACTGTCTGGGAACTGTCTCCTGAGGGCTAATCCCTGTGAAAGCTGGGGAATACTCTGAAGAGTATGGTGCCCAGCTTGTTGAGCAAGTTATGTGGTGGGAAAGGCCTTTGGTCTAATCCATCCAGGGCACTGAGAGCAGCAGCATCTTCTCTTGCCTGAGAAGTGACAGGGTAGAAAGTGCCTGTGTGTGTATGCACATGACTGCCAGCCATTTGCAAATTCTTTGTTTTTTAATTGCAGCCCAACTATCAGTCATCATTTGCCCCTTCAGCACCTTCTCAGCCTTCAGTGCCTTCCCTCTTCACACCTCAGCCAGTGCCAGCAATGTCTGTGACACCTCACCACGTTGCCCCTCCCCAGGCCAGCACGGGTCCACAAACAAGTGTCTATTCCAGAGGGCCCCCATACCCACAGTACAACTTGGGCTTGGTTCCAACAAGTGTTTCAGGGCCAGGTAAGCATTGTCTGGTAGTCATGTCTGTTGTTTAGGTTTTCTTAGACTAAAGCTTTCAACGTGGGTGGCTGCTCTGCTTTCTTCCTCGCAGGCCTATTGTACTCGCAAAGAACAAGTCAGCTGTCTGAGAAGCCTCTCGGTGCTTCTGACACATGTAGTTCTAGCAACTGTTGCTGCATGTCCACTGATATTGAGCATATGTAGGAGTGAAGAAGCCACAGCTAACTCTGTGACAGTGTTTGAGTGATGTAGCCTGGGTTATGGGTGACATGCCTCGCATGGATGTTCTAGGATATGGCTTGGAGAAGGGCAGCCTTACTACCATGAAAGAAAGCATCAGGAGTAGTTTGCCCATGAAACAAGTGATGCTGATACACTCCCTTTCTCATTTGTAGCTGTCTCACATTCTCAGCCATTTGGACCAGCGGGAGTCAGACCTGTTGGTCCTGCTCCATTCCCCAACCAGCCTTCTCTGCCAGGACAGCCCATGCCCATGCCCATGACAACTACTGGTGTTCCGCCACCTGGACCTGCCCTCTTCACTCCAGCCTCAGTCCCATCATCTCAGCTTCCTGCAGCTTGTCCTCTCCCTGTGGCAAGCCAATCTCCTCTAGGCTTCTCTTCAGCACCTTTCAACTGCCCTATGAACATGGGTTACCCTCAGGGAGGTCCTGGAGCTCCATCTACAAAGCCCCTGCCAGCAGCCAGCATTCCTCCTCCTCCCACAGGTAGGTACTGCTTGTGTGAGTTGTGTGTCCAGCACACTCCTGGATGGGGTTTGCAGTACATAATGGACATGGACCTTCTGAGGTCTGGTCTGTCACCGTAAAGGCTGGATGTGGTGCTGAGGCTAAGCTTACAGGTGCATTGTGCTGAGTCTTGCTGTGGTGATGAAACACAGTGATGGTGGCTGTTTGATTCAGCCTGTTCAGCTGCTCTACCCCTCAGGTTGTGGTTACAAGATGCTGTCTCTTCAGGTCCCCAGTGAACCCTGAGTATTCATCCACTTGAGAGACATCTGCTCTGACTGAAAGGGTGGCGGTTCCCAGGGAATGCCTGGTGGAAGGATTGCTATCTCGTCCCTGCCCATGTAACTTACACAAGAAGTGCATTTGAAATGCTAGGAGAGCAGGATGCTGCTTCTCTGCTAATGGAATACCCCTTGCTTAGCTCACGATGAAATTCCTCTGTCTGCTATGCTCTAGTTGTCTCCATTTTTTCCTGCTACCATAAAGTGCTTGCCTGGGAATCACTTCTGGATTCCTCTGTGTGGTGCTCTAGATCTGGAGTCTCTCCTCTCTGGGTCTATAGTTTGAATCCAGCCCAGCCTGCAACTGCTGTGAAGTCCTTGCTAGCATGATGAAGGAAAAGAGAGTGTTGTTGGACCTAGTTCCCAGTGGACAGACATTCCCTCTTTCTATTTCTCACATCACCACATCTGGTGCTTGTTAATTCTCTGCTGTCTCAGGGACCAGATTTAGCCAGGTCATGGAGATCCCTAACAACAAGGCTGACAATCCTTACGTTTTTTGAGCAGATGCTTCTCCAAGCCATGCATATTCTGAGAGTGAAGAAACTGAGGCTTTGAGGTTCACCTCCACCTGGAATCCTTTGCTGAGCTGTGTTTAACCAAGGATAGCAAACCCCACTGTGTGAAGCCTGTGGGGACTTTACACAAAGGCTCTGAGCTAAGGCTGGACAAATTCCTTCTGAAAATCTATCAGGGACGGTAGTCCAGGGACATTATTTGCTGAGTAAAAGCTGTTGGTGATGATGACTCTCCCACCCTGCCTTGATTTTCAGGTTTCTTCCCTTGGCTAGGTCCCCACGTGGATCATGCAGGTAGTACCCAGAGAAGCCTCCAGACCTGCAGGGGAGGCAATGTTGCTGCTTCCAGTGAAATGTGGGGTGTGTGCGCACGTTTTACTGTGTGTGCATGCGTGCATGCTCGTTGCTATTTGTTGTTTCCTTGCATGCCTGGGGACTCATAGAGCTGGGTGAGCGGACATACTTGTCCTGAGGACTAGTAAGTGACAGCTGGGGATGTTGGAAGTGAAGTGAAATCACTGTGCTCTTACTGATGAGTTTGGGTGCAGAAAGGGGCTCTAGCATCTTCCTTCTCTACTTTCCTCCAGTCCTGAAGGAATTAGAGCATTCTCATTCTCTGTGTCCCTTCAGGCAGTTGCTGGGCCAGCAGGACAGGGAAGCAGCCCCTTTGCCTTTCTTTGTTCTCTAGGCAAGGAACAGGCCAGTGGTTGTAACTCACCTCTTGTTTACCTTCTGTTACTCTCCCAGCCTTATGCATGGCTTTACTTGTGCTTGTGCTTTCCCTAGGTGGTTTGGAAGAGGTGGATCCCAGCATGAGCAGAGGTGGAGTACAGCTTCCCAAGCAGAATTGGGGACTCTTTCCAAGGGGAACTGGAAAGCCCTTTTGGCTTTAGTTACAGGGCAAGATTTGGCTTTGAATCTCAGTCCGTCTGCTGGGGAGCGTGGACTGTAGAGGTTTTCTGACTGATGCTTTGTACTGATTTCTCTCCTTGGGATTTATTGATGATGGAGAGTAGGTATCTCCCAGTCTACATTGTCAGTGGGATAAGGCTCAATATCTTAGTGGGCTTTCTTTGCACAGTGACTGCTGGTTGTGCCAAAGACCGTCTGCCAGGTACAAAAGATTATCTGGGGGGGTGTCAGCTTTATTTAGGAAATCTGAGTACTCAGTAGCCACTTACACCACCAAACAGTCTTGCTGTGTGGAATGGGACTCTAGAAAGGCAATTGTCCCTTCATCAGAGAAACAAGAGACCCCAGTGTTTCCCTGTTAAAGGAAATATGGTTCCATAGCAGGATTTCAGGCACTTCCTCAGGCTGAAGATGCCCTGTGGGAATTATTGCTGGGAAGTTCCCTTCTAGCAGCATTTACCCCCAGTTTTAATGGCAGCATATGGCATGCCCAGATCAGGAGTGCAGACTGGTTTTCCTGAGAGTGCTTTCTTGCCTGCTATTATTGTTCTGGTTTTGATGGGTACTTTTCTTTAGCCTGAAAAGTGACTGTAAGATCACTCAATTTGACTGGCCAAACTTGCTTGCTTTGGAAATTCCTGAACATGATCTGAACAGCTCATGAACACATTCTCACTAGTGCAATGAAGAGAGATCTCCACTTCCCACGCTCCTGGGGAGTGTCAGGGACAGGGTGAAGGACAGCAACATGTTGGCTGATCTCGTTTCTGGCTCAGATAATCCCTGTCTCCAGCCTTTCATGGTCTTGTTTTTTCTAGGACAGGCATTGCTGGAGACTGCTGCCATGGGGTACTCCTTTCAGGGTTGGTGAAAATCCTTCTTTCACAGTAGTATAGGGAAGAAACTCAGAGTTTCATCCCAGCAAAATGCAGCATGGTCCTGTTGTCTCACATTTGATGATGAAGTGTGTGGCTTGAAAACTATAATTTAAATAGCTGTTTCCTGTGAGGATTCAAAGTGCCACTGGGTTGGAATAGTGCCAGGGACTGCTAGGCCACAGGCTCGGTGGGGGCCAGCAGAGTTCTAGGGCACAGAATCCCCAAACTAGAAATAAGTGCCAACTTAATTAAACTATTGATCCAAACTCATCAGAGAGTGAGTCTTGAAATCATGGGAAAAGGGAGGGCAAAAAGAGGCTGCCAGAGTTTTAATAATAAAGGTAATTAAAGTAATGAAGCACCTTTTGCATCTTTCCCCTGTGATTTTTAAAGCTCAGTTCAGGATCAGTGGCTCATTAAGTGTGGCACTGAGCTCCAGCAATTCTAATATTGCCCTTTAGAATTATGTCACTTTCTCAAAGATTATTCCTGTCTCATGGGCTTGAGTTTATTAATACTGAGGTGACAAAAGAAGCACTGGGGTTTTGTCTAGAGATGCAGGTACCCTTACAGGATAGCCGCAGGCAGGGTAGTTGGAATTTGACCTTCACAGAATGAAGTGTGGTTGCAAGTCTTTTGATGTCATATTGTCTGATAGATTTTTAATTACCTGAAGTGAGGTTAGAGGCTAGGTACCACAGAAGTGTCTACCAAGACATTCCTCTGTTCCTAAGGCATTTACTGGTTAAGTCTATTCTCTTCTAGTTGGGAAGTTAGCAAATTTTGCTAAGCTTTGGTTCTAAACATGATTTTGGAAGGGGAAAATTTCAACCCACCCCTAACTTTTCACCCCTTTAACACAGCAACCTGCATTGCTGTGGAATGCCACTGTGAGTTGCTCCTGCGAGTGTTGGTGAGAAGCCCTCTCCACCCATAACATAGCCCTTGCTGCTAGTTTCTCTGTTTGGGGTACCCCAGGAATTCCCTGAACCCTGATGTACACACACATGCAGGTCCTGATCCAGGTTCAGGCCTGACTCTGAGGCTGACTTCTGCAGCCTGTGCAGAATGTGAAAAGCTTCAGGTAGTGGGGAAAAAGCTTTCTGAGTGAGAGTGGATGTGTGCCAGTTCAGTCTGATTAGACATCACCTCATGAGGCCTGTGCACATACTCAGATGCTAAGAATGTAATCAAGAAAGAGAAAGGGAAGCAAGAGTAGTTCTTGAGCCCATGAGATGGGTCTGAAATTCATCAGTTGAAATGGTCTGAAGATGCAGTGATGAGGGGGAATTGGAGCCATGTGCCCTTTTGCCGAGGGAAGTTCAAAGCCATGCAAGCAACTGTGAATTGTTGCTGTGACCACCTTCTCAAAGTCTGACATTTGTGTCTTGTTCTCTCCTGGCAGCTCAGGAGTCTTGGACTGATCCCTCTGCTGTGAGGGGAGGCCTTCAAAAGAAAAAGGTAAGTGAAAGCTGAAAGGCTGCAAGTCTTTTAGCCAGGGAGCTCCATGCAAGAGATACTTTCCTATGAATGCTCCCTGTCACACTCAGCAGGTCTTATTCCATGTTGCTCTGTCTACTTCTGCATCATGTGGATAGGTCTGAAGTCTAAGTCGTCTTGCCCCTTTGCCATTCAAACTTGCATGCTGTTCTCCAGGGTGGCTGCTTTGTACCAGGGTTATCATCTGTGATGCCGCATCCTCAGTCAGTACTTCCCAGGCTGACTACAGTCACTTGTTGCTAGAAATAGGGATTTAATCTTACCCCCTTGCCCACACACCTTTTTGGATAGTGACTGCGGGGATCATGCTCGCTTCACACCTGACAGCTGGGGGCAGCATTTCCCCTCAGCACAGCGAGACCCGCGGTGATTTTCCTCAGATGCTGATATCAACTGATAAGGCACTTCTGCTGAAAGAAGCTGGGACAGGTGTAACTGTGAGCTGCCTGCCCTGTTGGCCCTGGTGCTCTCTGCTCTGTAGCGAATGCACTGGAGGACCTGTGGGCTGAGCTTTTTTGCAACAAATGCTCTCAGTACCCCATTTCTGTCACTGCTGCCTGTTTGCAGGTGTGATGAGAAGCTTCTTTGGCACCATTCCCACCCCCTACTCCTCTTCTTTAGCTTGGAACAGACTTCTCGCCCTTTTTCTGGCAGCATAGCTGGGAACCTGCTTCAGGCTGTGCTCACTACAACAGGATTAGCCTCTTGTTAAAGCCATCTCCTTTTGATCTAGCCCTGTTGGAGCGAATCTACCCTGACTCTCTGGCTTAGCAGGGGCACGATGAAGTGTTTGCAAGAGGATTCTCCCCCCATGTCGTGGGATTTTCCTCAACACTTGCTCTGTTGGACACTTTACTGCTGCTAATCTCTACATTCAGGACTCGTGCCGTCGCAGAGCCAAGGCGGCTTTCTGAGGACCAGTGCTTTGAGGAGCAACGGATCTGTTTGATTGAACAATTCCAGAGGAGTTTTCTTGCAGTTGCTTTGATTGTTCATCTGGGATGCAAGAGGAAGGGCCCCGCGCTCTGAGTCAGGGGGCTGAAAGCACAGGGATGTGTTACACATCATCTTGAGAACTGGGCACTTTGCAAGTTAAAAAGGAAGTTGAATTTGACTGTGGAGAGTGTAACCAACCCTCCTTCCTTGGGCTTGGTTTTCTGATTTTTTTTTCCCTTTTCTTTCTTTTTGCTGGCAGTTACCTGAGAAATTTACTCCTCCAGCCCCCATCACAGCTCCAGTAATGAGCCTGCGGGCTGAGCCCCAAGGGATCCATCCACAGCTGTCCAGGTTGCACGAATCTGGCCAGTCACCCCCAGGAGCACCCAAGGAAGGCAGCCTGCAGGTACCCAGGGAAAGTGGGGTGTTCCCCAGCCACCACCTCCTTGCCAAGTAGAAAAACAACTCAGCTTTTGAGATTCTTGTTACTTGGCAGCTGCAGGGTTTATGTTGCTCCCTAGCCCTTATAAGACATCTCTGCCTGACTGTTAGAGGAATTCCCAGGGTGGAAAATGACACCTGGGTACAGCTAGGAGAGAGGGAAGGAGGCCAGGCAGGCTGTTAGCCTGCTGGAAGTTGGTAACCCACAAAGGCCTGAAGCTATACCACAGTCTGAAGATGATAATTTAACTCTTCCTGGTATTCTCTGGGTTTGAGAAGGGGTGAAATTCTCTGTTCATAATTGCAGGAGGGGAATCCACATTCATTCAGCTTCTTCTCTCTCTGTCAGTATCACCAGCTACCTGTGGAGAGAGTTGAGAGGAAGGAGGTGCCCCCTGAGCACCAGGCTCTGAAGACCACATTTGAAGGGTTGGTGCAACGCTGCTCTGCTGTCACCACTGATCCAGTAAGTCCTCCCTTTTCTGATCTTTATCTTTTTTGCCCTTGTAGATGTTTGACTGGTGCTTCCTTCGTTTTGGTTGGGAAAAGAGAGAAAGAGTCTTGTCCCTATAACCAAGTTAATCTCCATCTGCCTCCTTCCTTTAGGCCATAGACTTGTCCATCTCTTGGGACCTGAGATGTATTATCTAGCGTTTATCCACTATTCACTATCTCTAGCTGCTTATCCAGAAAGCCAGACAATCTTTGTGTCTGAGTCACTCTAATTTCTGCACCCTGGTTCCTGCAAGGCTGTTGGCATACATGTTACCTTGCGTGAATGTATCAGGCCAGACTGCCTGGAAGCAGGAAAGCCATGTTTGCAGCATCATGTTAGGTTGCTAAGTCTTCCCAGAGCTTGGGGGCACCGTGAAGCCTTCCAGAATACCTCTGCTTAGTTGGGATGAGCACTGAGCCCAAACTGCTATCCCAGCATCAGACAATTTGTGTGTAGCAGTAGCTCCAGTATGTTTGCTTTGTGCTTTCTGAGAGCGCAGTGTAACAATTTCTGGGAAATAACCTAAAGGTTCCCTCTATGGACAGAAAGGTCTGTTGGTTTGGGCTTAAGCCCTTGGCTTACACGGAGGTTGAACAACTGGGTTGGTACAGCAATGCAAGACACCTGAGCTCCTCAGGCTGCCAGGCATTTCTGTCCATGGTATAATTTACCTGTGAGTGGGTTATCCAAGGTGGGGTTAAAGGGGTCAGTCCCACCAGAGCTTCAGTAGTCAGACCCTTTCCTTGGTGGTTACCTAGAGCAGGAAGGATAGTCCCTCTTTTCCTAAAGCAGACCAGGAAGAAGCCGTTGCTTAGGTCAGCCAGGGTGAAGCTGTCTGAATGCCCCGTGGGTCAGCTAGTGGATGTTTCTCACGCTCTGGAAGTAGTCACTCTGGCCTGTGGCCTGCAAGCACTGGCAGAAGGGAGGAATGCCTAGGGTAGGAGATGGGAAAAGGGACAAGTCCAGCTTCCTCTTGTGGAGAGAACATGTGCATGTGTATGTGCGCAGTGTGGGCATGGCTGGCTTGTATCACAGTCCCTGGCTGGCAGAGGCTGAGATGCAGTTAAAGTGTAAGGTGCTGTGGGAAGAACAGAGGAGGGGAGGGACTGAGTGAGAACAACTTGTTTCTGAGAGAGATGGTTTTGAAGCTCTAGCAGAGCTAGTTGTGCTTGTTTGACTTCAGAAAACTCGAAGGAAGCTGGAGGACACATTACAGCGGCTGGAGTGTTTGTATGAGAAGCTCCGTGAGCAGGCGGTAAGTAGATGCCACCATTCCCTGTGGTCCAGCCAGGTTCCTGATCTCGCCTTTTCACTGAGTTCTGGGCCTTGGTGTCTGTCCCAGTGTTACCAGCACATATCCTCTTGAGAAACCTAGAGAGTGCCAAACCTTATCATGCACCTTGAATCCAACCAGCATCATCTCGTCCTTCTTAACCTTGGCCCAGACATAGCGTAAGGAAAAGCTGGGGAGGTATTTGCAGGGTCCTTTTGCCCCCAGGAAGTATACTGGCATATGGACAGGTTCCAGATGGGCAATTGGGGGTAGCTGTAAAGTGTGGACCTAGTGTAACCTCTGGCTTAGAAAACACTGATATTGCTGATGCCAATTGCTGGAGGGATAGCTATCAAGGGAAGAGTCCTTTTAACATACACCCTTGTCCTCAGTGTCCATATTAGGCCTGAACAGAGACAGGATTCCTTGCTAGATGGACCTTTGACCTCCTCACATACCTCAGATATTCAATTAAAGCTGAAATGTCATTACTTAGGACCTGCATTCACTGTAACCCAGCCTGGGTGTTATATAAATGTTTGTTGTGGGCTGGGAAACTAAGGGGAAGAGCAGGCTATCCCTCCTGCCAGTGCCTGACTGAGTAGTGGTGTTTGGTGAGGGTGAGGTGGAGAGCAGGAGGAAAGGGTGTGGAGGGAAGGGGGCCTGTGTTACAGTGCTGAGCATGCTGACTCATTTCTGCTCCCTCCCCACAGCTCTCTCCAACCATCCTCATGGGTCTCCATGAAATTGCCCGCTGCATTGAGGCTAGGAACTACCAACAGGGTCTCCTGGTTCACACCCAAGTGGTGAGCAGCAGCAGTTTCAGTGAGGTGTCTGGTTTCATGCCCATCCTGAAAGTCCTCATGACCATTGCTGGCAAGCTGAATGTGTGAAGCATGGAGCAGCTGGAACAGTGCAAGCTGAGAGCTGATGGACTCCCTCACCTGTTACTGTGCTGCAGGTTATGGACTCTCCTGCTGACTGTGGAGAAATAAGTCTGTGCCAGTGCCTGGACCTGTGCTGGGCCAGTGCGACTGGACCCGTCTGCTCTCCCAACAACCAGCTGGGGCTTGGGACTCCTGGAGACTGTTCTTTTCTCTCTTCTTTCTCAGTAGTCTGAGGCTGCTTCCCAGCCCAGGGATCTCAGTTTCAGGCTGTCCAGGTTGCACAGAGATCCTCCATCTTCCCTGTTTCCCTGGCACAAAGGGGAAACTCCTTCCCACCTAGGCTGATGTTACTTGCTTTTTTTTTTTTTTTTTTTTAGGGGACAAACAGACAAACTGGCACCTGCAGTGCCACCAGACAGAAGAGTCTCAGGCTCTATTCCCTGCTGCAGTGTAAACTGCCTGAGCGATAGCTGGGCTCCCCTGGGACCTAAGCTGGGGTGTCCCTGCTCTGATGGGCTGCAGTGAGGATCTCTCCTCTGGTTCCTCCTTTCTCTTCATTTTCATCCTTAACTTACCCTCTGTCTTCTTTTTTGGTTGTTTGTTTTGTTTTGTTTTGTTTTTTACCCTTCTACACCCATATCCTGCTACAACTAGGGCTAACTACCAGCCTGCTCTGGGCCAGCTTTGGTTCTCTCTCCCTTCTTCACTCATTTCTTTTCATTGTTGAGTCTCCTGTTCACCCTCTATCCCCACTCCTGTCTGTCTTTCCCTCCATAAGCTGCAGGCTTGAGCCCTTTATATTTCAGGCCCAGGGCTGATTCTCCCTTCCCACTCCTGAGACTCTCCCATTCAGAAATGCTAGCAGGTTGGACTGCTCTGTGCACTTCCCCAGAGCCAGTTGCATCCTGTGTTTGAGCTAATGGCCACACTCTCTGGTTTCTGGCCTTTTTCACTTCCTTCATATTAGCACAGTTGGCCTTTTGCCCACTGGTGTTATCTCAAGGCTTCCTACATAGGGCTTTTCAGGCAGTCTAGGGGCTTTAAGAGCAGCAGGGATTGTTCAGGTCCCATAAAAATCCCTTTAAACTACTCTGACCAGTCCAGACTTGAGCAGGGGGAGACAGCTCATTCCTCCAAGTGTGGTGCATTCATTCTGCCTACAGTTACAGATACATGCAAAGGTGGTTCTCAAAGGCCCCTTGGCCCTATGGTGGTAGGAATATGCTGCAGGAGGTGATGCTGTCAGGTCTCAAGGACATGGCTGTGCTGAGGCTTTTCATCCCTGTAGCATTTCCTCTGGGTTAAAATAGATGAATGAAACATATCTGTCCTGGGGAAAAAGTCTGGGAAGGCAGATGGGATTTTAGGGCACATCTCTGTGTGTGTGTCTTTCCCTCTCTTCCTCTCTTTCACCCTCTTGTGCTAACCAGGCAGCGTAATTCTTGGGCTCTAGCTGGGAGCAAGGCTTCTTCCCAATGTTTGGCTGCAGCCAGCTCCTGCTTCCTGTGCTTGCTGCTTGAGTGACAATGCCATCATGGGCCAGTGGTTCAGTGGCTGAGGTGAATCAGCCTGCTCTACCATGAGACTTAGGAGGGAGGGGAATAAGAGAAGGGAGGGAGAGGACACATCTCATTCTCTTCTTTCGTCAAAGTGCCTCCTTGTTGCTGCTGTATTGTTTCTATTGCTGCAGTTTGATGCACTGAGAGATTACAGAACAGTGAAATAAAAGCTGTGTTTTGTGACGCTGCTAGCTTTTTTTCATAGGTTTGTCACCTCTGGCTACAGGGGACTTCCCTCAGTTGCAGGGCCACCCACTGAAAACTGAGTTCTCGGCTTTGGTGAGAGGAGAAATTGAGAACAGTGTGAAGCAAATGAGATTCTGGGCTCTGCTGCTGTGGGCAGCAACTGTCCTGGTGTGGTGAGACCTCAGGTCTTACCCACTCCCTAGGGCTGCAGGGTCAGAGAACTGATCTTCTCCAGATCACGTGCCTCATTTGTGACTGTTCATCTGCATCAGACACAAACGGGTCCCTGGGATGGCTGAGGTTCTCTTGGTGAATCACAGCAGTGTTGGGGATTTTACACTTGACATCGGGCGTTGGAAGTATTGTCAGTAAGCAAACAGCGCCCTTGATGAGATCCTCTCCTGTTGGAAATCGATGTTACACCACTGAAGCCATGACACTTAAACTAGGATGAGGATCTGACCTGTGTGGAAAACAGATTTGTGCCATTGAAGTGTCAGTTTTTACCATTAGTTAATAACTTCTGAATCTGTTGGTGTATTTCATTTAAGCTTTTAAAGGAGGTAAGAAGGCTGAAGTGAAACATCAGTGCTGAGATATCAGGGAGGAATCAAACTAGCTTCTGCAAAAAGACTGATGTAATCTCAAAAAAATTTTGTTTTATTTTGCTGTCAGCTGGCTGGCTAATATATACGTACAGGTCAGCCAGTCAGCGCACACAAAACACTGGAATAGTGAAGGCTGCATAAACTGGCTTGTGGCTGGGGGACTTGGGAGGAAGTAAAGGTTGAGAAAGATGGTTTGGATGGGGAAGATTTGAAAGGCCATTGCTGGAAAGGGACCAGGGTTTATGAAGGTTCTGGGGTACTATGGACGCACACATTCAGGGAAAACCAGTGTTTGTTAGTTCTGCTGCTGGCAGAGGCAAATACCAAGTGTAAGCTGCTTTTGCAGCCCAGTCTGAGAGCAGTTAGCAACCAGTCTGGCCTCCCAGCTGTCCTCCATCAGGGAGATACAAGCTGATTTTCAAAGGCAGCACTTGTGTTAAGACTCCTGATGCTGAACAAGTGAGCAGGTAGCCCTGGAGGCATACTTTTGCTTAACCAGTATATAAGGAAAGTTCTAGCTTTGTGAGATCTTTTAACAAGCCTGGTATTTCTTAGGAAGGATCCAGTTGTAGTACCCTGTGCAGTTCAGCACCTCTCTTTCTTTGATTCATGCCACTTTTACTACTGAGAAATAAGCATGGATTTCCCATGTATTTCTCAGATGCATTTGACTCTAGTGTTCCCTCCAGCGTGCATTGCTTCCGCTGCCCATGGACTCATGCAGAGACTGGCTATTTATCCTGCCTTTGCTGCGAGTCCTTCCTGCTTGCCCCTTTGTCCCACTGTTGCTCAGTTCTGCTTCAGGTTCACCTGAGCAAGCACCACCCCTAAAACTCTTGGTAGGGAAGCCGGGCAGGGGAAACTGAGGTGACCCACTCGAGGGTCTTTGGGAGGTTCATGGCAGAAGCCCTGTCTCTGTGGCTGTGATGCAACATGTCCTTGCAAGCCCCGCTGGAAAGCGCTCCTCTCTTTACAGCACTGTCTCTGCTCACTGGTACAGCTTCTGGTCTACAGACAGCGGCTGCTTGGTGTGTCCTCCTCCCATGTGGGCACATGCTCCTGCAGCATCCCTGTGCTGCTCCTCAGAGAGAGCATGTTCTGTTGGGTGAGAAGGCCTTTGGGCTGACAAAGAATTGGGAAGGGTGGTAGGAAAGGATCCCTGGGCACAGAGAACAGAGCTCTAATCCTGTTGTGGATAACATCATGTCTGCAGGCTAGGCTTGTGTGTGTTTGGGGGAGCTGGAGGGGCAGAGATTGTTAGGCAGTATTTGTTTGTAAAGCCACTTGCTCTGAAGATAATGCTTGCACTAACTTCTATTGAGGGAGCAGTGTGAGTCCCCACAAAGTCCTTTCCCAAAGTGTCTTTGAAGCCAAGAACCCATTGAAAGGAAGAAAGGCCAAGAGAGGGGATTAGTTTGTTCAGCAGCTGTGAATTTCAGTGGGAGGCTGATGAACTCCAAAGTCTTTGTTGAGATGTTTTTTGTAAGGAGCCCTGCTGGAGGGAGAGACCCACACGGGGGCCAAGGCCTTAGACAAGAAGGAATCCGAAGCGGCAGGGAGCTGTAAGCGGGCCACAAGGACTTTTCCCAAACACTTTTCGGAAAAGGTGTTGTGAAGAGAGCGGAGGGGGATTAGCATGTGAAATGACACTTTCCATTGACTCCACAGAGGGGAGGGGAAAAGGGCTGGCTGGCTGATTTATTAGCATTTTGTTCCTTTCTCTATTCTGCTCCCCCTGTAGCCCCCCTCCCTCTGCTCCCCTCCTCCCTGAGCCCTCTAAAGAGGTTTGGATTGGAAAAGGGAGCAGGGGGCTGCCTGTTTGTGTGTCATCTGGGCGAAGGTGACCACCTGGGAAGCTGAATGTAAATATTTCTCCTCTGAGGAATGCGCCTTCATTAAACCGAAATGAATACATGGAAGCATCCAATCCCGCCGCACAATGGCAGCAGTGCCTTTACCGCTGAGGGCTCCCTGTGCCAGGGAGGGGGGACCCCTCCGGGCCCTGACCCGCTGCTGAGGTCAGCACATTTTGCAGCTGTGGTGTCGCCGTTTTCTCCCAGAGAAAGAGGCATGTGGTGGTGGGGCCCCCACTTGTAATGCTCCCCACGTGTCCCCTTCACCAGCCGGCGTCACTGTGCCTGGCGGGCACATCCTGGGCTGTGCCACCACCCGTGTGGGGCAATAGTGTCAGCAGGGGAGAGACAGGGTAGCACAGCCTGCCATGTGCTGGGGAGGAAATGGGAAACAGCTTCCACACCTTCTCCTTTTCTCACATTTCCTGTGGAAATGTCTGTGGAATGGGGGGAACAGAGCAACAAGGAGAGGGTAGAAGCTGTCTTCTTTGCCTTGCGGTTGCCTTCAAAACAGCTCACGCTGGAGCTTTCACTGCTGCGTGAGAGCCTCTCATCACCTCTTTGCTTTCCTGCCCGAGGATGCATCCCCACTGCAGGGAGATGGAGGAACTGCTGGTGGAGATGCAAGGGAGACTGAGGGCAGGGTCACTGTGTTAATAAGAACCTTTGCACAAACAGCTGGTGGTTTCTGTGTGAAGTGGAAGTGTTTCAGCTTTCCCTGAGAATGGGCCAAGGTTGTTTCTTGCAATTTTTTGAAGGGACAGATTGTTGCTTGATGGGAATGCTTTTGCTCTGGTGAGACCCCAGTTTGCCGTAGGTCCAAATTCCCACCCCCAGTGAAGTAGTCCTGGGATCGAGGGGGTATTTGATAACTAAGAGAGACACACAGACTGCTGAGTCTATATTAATATATTGTCTCTGAAATGGGCAACTGGGACCCTGTTTGCTCTCCTCCCACCCCCTTCCCCCTGGCAGCAGCATTGTAGTTGGATGCAACCTCAGACAAGCTCAAGGAGAGGGCAGGTTCTTTCCCTGCCTGGCCCAGACCATGGTGGCGCTGCATGGAGGGAACTGGTCAACCCTTCTTATGCTCAACAGATGGGTAAGTGGCTGGATTTTGGTCTCCAGAACTGTAACTACATACATCCACACATGCAATTTGATGAAAAAAACCCCACCCAGCTACTGAGACACAACAGCATTTTGCAAGCACTTGGCTACTGATTTATTGTATTGGCTATTGGTTTACAAATATTGGCTACAACGCAGGTCTAATGGCCAGTAACTTGGCTCTGCTGGCTTTTCCTCTGGCTAAAGGACACTTCAAACAGCAGACGATAACCTCACAGCCCAGGGCAGATCACTGTGATGGTGCAGTGAGCTTCCCCAGTCCTGCAGCTGACAGCTTCTTCCCTCCCTACCCCAGCCATGCTAAGGGAACAGAGATGTGTCAACCAGATCTTCCTGCTGTTTGCTTCGCTTATAGAATATATACAATAAGCAGTAGAGGAAAAACTGTTACGTATACATCACAGTAACTGTGCAATAAATTAAACTTCAAAGTGCTTCACTTCCCTATTTACAACACCATTAAATAGTAACTGACATTATTTTCTCAGACTAGGAGGAAGTATTTAGTTAGCTGACAGGGTAAGAGTGCTCAGCAAGTACACCAGGAGGTTGGGAATGGGCTCAGCTGGCTCCTCTCTGGGAGAGATTTGGGAGGAAAGAGGGACTGGAGAAGTGTGAGGGCATCTTTGCGGCATCAATCAAGGGCTTTGGCAGGGATGCTGGGGTGAAAAGGGAGACTAAACCTGGAGGCTTAGAAGATACAGAGAAAGCATGTGAAAAGCAAGTGATGGGACTCCTCTTTTGGCCAGCTGTTTAATGGACAGCTCAAGCAGCAGCTTCAGTCTTGCTGCTGTCATCTCAAATGCCAAATAAAGCACTGGGGAGCTCAGCAAAGCTGTCAAAGGGTGAGAAGTGATGCTGTGGGCCTCCTGGAGGCTGGCTTACTGCAGGAATGAGTTGCACACCTTTCCTATTCCCTCATAGTGCAGCGCTTAATAAAAAATTTTATTTTAATGCCTCTATTTTTTTTAGGGTACTAGAAGCCTCTTCTGTTTTAGAGATTACCACTCTGAGTACCCCAACTCTGGTGGTGCCATCTCGGCTTCCTCGTGCTTTCCTGAGTGTTGATCTCACCTGCTCAAAAGCCCAGATCAGATGCTTTCTGGGGGAACAGACAAGCTCAAAAGAGCATGAGCCACTGAGACCACCTGTGATTTCAGCGATAAAACCATAGTGACCGGATAGAGTGAAGGGACCCAACCTCATCTTGTTTTGTCAACACTTGAAGGTCTTCCCAGAAGCCATCACCCACTGCACTGATGGGAAATGGCCTGGATGGCCAAGACCCAGGAGCTTATGAGTGTTCTTTTGCCCTGCCCAAGCCCCAGTGAGGTGGCACTGGAAATGAGACAAAACTAAGCCAAAGGGAAATGGTGCCAGGGGCTGCTGGGGAGATGGGGAGGGCAGGAGAGGACAGGGGCAGACAGGACTATGAAAGAGCAGAGGCAAGTTAGAGCTTTCTCTTGAGCTTGCGGCTGGCGCCACCACCCCCGCTCCGCTCCCGCTTCTCCTTGCGAACACAGAAGTATTTGGTGACCCGTTTGCGGCACTGCTCGCACCGCACGGCACAGCACCAGTGGAACTTGCAGTTGCAGCTGGACACCATCTCGGCTCGCCTCTCCTCCACGGCTAGCCCGCAGCCCCCGCACAGCCGCCGGCAGCTCCGCTTCTCCCACTTGCTGAGCGCCTTGCCCCTCTTCAGGCACTCCCTGCCCTCCGTGCCCAGCAGCCCCAGCGTCTTGTTCTCCAAGCAGTAGTCAGGAGAGTCTTCTAAATGGACCAGCTCCTTCTTGGAGATGGAGCTGAAGGTCTCAGCGATGGCACCCCGGCTGGCAGCACTGTTCCCTGCCCCCTGCAGCAAGTCCACCTTCAGGGCTTTGTGGTACCTCTCCTTGAGGTAAGTGCCCACCTCCCGAAACTCGGGCAGCTGCAGCCAGCAGGTCTGGGTGGTGCAGCTCCCTGACACACCATGGCATTTGCAAGTCCGCTTCATGGTCCCTTTCACGGCCTACGGGGAGGAGAGAGAAGGGATTCAGGAAAAAGCCCAGAGAGGTCATTTCTATGCTGCAGTGCATGGAGAAACATGCCTCCAGGCCTTGGGGGGGTTTGCCATCGACCTTCCCTGCGCAGTAGGGTGGTTGGTAGGGTGCACCCAGGGGTGGTTGACTTAAAGCTTGCCAATTTACTTCTCCAAGGTACTCCCCTACTTGAACTGGGAGAAAGAGGACAGCAGGAAGACGTTAACAGTGTAATCACAGAAGGTTTGCTACCTTAGAGCAAACATCACCCATCACATCAGTACCACTGCCATCCCCTTTTCCTTGGCAGGGTAATTGTTTCTTCTGAGTACGTGCTTTTAGCTGGAGCAAGTCACGACTCTCCACGGTGAAGAGCCAGAGCCAATCGGGTATGCGCTGTCAGATCTGCAGGGAGAGAGGGGCTTACCTTTCTACCCGCCTCGTTGTTATGCAGGTTCATAGCAGCTCTGGCATCTTGTCCAGTCTCCAGGGCATCCACAAACTGCTTGGAAATGGCTTCCCCAAAGCCCACATTATCGCTGCAGCCTCCCCACAGCCAGCCTTGTCCCCCTAGGAAAGGAGATAAGATATGCACTGCCAGGGAACCAGCCCCTCACCTGCCTGGCTTGTGGCTCTGGGGACAAGAAAGGGTTTCAGAAGTGATGGGAGGGAATGGAGTCTGTGGGGCAAATCCAGCCTTTTGCCTCATGATATTCCCGGATTCCCTCCCCTTGGGCTCATGCCTTTTGTACTGAGACCTGGGTAATAAGTGGCTCATGCAGGCAGTGAAGGAGTATGTCCCATGTGACAAACCCAGGGATTTCCAGGCTCTCTATAGAGCAGGATTCAGAAGCTGTTCATTCTCTTGCATTAGCAATCACAGAATCACAGAATGTTGGGGATTGGAAGGGACCTTGAAAGATCATCTAGTCCAATCCCCCTGCCGGAGCAGGAACCTAAATGAGATCACACAGGAAGGCGTCCAGGCAGGTCTTGAATGTCTCCAGAGAAGGAGACTCCACATATAGATGACGCTTTGGGTCTTAATCACCTTCCTTTAAACCCTGACTTGAACTGGTTTGGTCTGACTTGCAGGGACAACATCTTGCTGGCATGGATCAGCAAACTGGTGGAGGCACCCTGGTCAGAGGGAAGAGATTCCCCTCTGCTGGGAAACGACCCAAGCCTGGCCCACATGTATTGAGGAGGCCCTCTTTTTTGGTACGCCCAGAATCCCAGGCTGATGTTGAGCATCTCAGAAGGGTCTGATTTTCCAGTTATCGTAAAGAAACAAAGGAGTCAGGACAGAACTGGGAAACTGCACAGCAAGATGTGGAGGGTACTTTTTCTAACCACATGGGAGCTTGATAACTTAGCTCGACTGACTGGAAACGTGTCATGCAGTTTGCTTCTTTTCTTCCTAGAGAAAAATGCCAAATTTTTTATGAAGATTTGGAATCTGGAACATTTTGACTTTAGACTGCCTTAGTGATACATCTCGGGAGTTGTGGTTTAATGGTCTCATACCTCTTTTCTTCCTGAAAGACCTGGCCCTTGCCCAGAGTTCCCTAGAGCATTTTGGTCCCCTCTTCCAGGGAAAGGTGTGGGGTGTCTCATGGGAAGTGGGTACTTGCAGCAGATGATGAAGTCCAAAGCAAGAGCTGGGACCAAAGGGAGAATGGAAACCCCTCACCAACTTGGATTCAGTGCAATGGCATTTAGAATTGAATCACACTGTTTTAGACAACCCCACATATTTCCTTTGCCTTCCAAGGTTTTAAGTTCACAGTGGAAAATTTTCATGAAAACAGATATGTTTTGGGGAAAAGAAGTGTAGCATGACTAACTCAGTTTTCCAGAGAAGATAAAATTTGGTGTATCATTGCCCCAAAGCCTTGCTCTTCCAGACATGGCCTATGCCATGCCTCAGACACCTAAGAAGCAGTATCTGTTTTAAAAACCATTAGCCAATAAAGAAAATTACTAAATATTGAATAGTCCAGAGGAGTTTGTAATAAACTGATGCACACCAACTGCCCAGTGCGGCTGGGTGGGGAAAGGCTTTTAAAAGATTTTGGTAATTTGAAATGCAACTTCTTTCCATTCAAAACAAAAGACTGAAATGTCAATGTTTTCTGTGAGAGAAAACTTCTAGCTTCTGGAGAGCTAGAGCAGTGCAGCCTGAGGTTCCCCCCCAAGGGTGCCTAGCTGTGATGGGGATGGGGTGAAGTCTATGTACTGCCACAGTGGTTCTTCTGGTTGTGTTCTCATGTGCCCGCCATGGTGGTGGGATCTATAGGTGCCTCCCTGCTTTTCCTCCTGGTAACTCTGCTCTGGGGCCACCTGGGTCCTGCACACCCAGGGAGCCCCGAGGTCCCTGATCAGCGCTGCTCTAACCAGACCTGCCATTTAGAGACACTGCATCAGATCCTCTCCTCTGCCCATACAATAAAGTCATTCCCTCCCGCAGCTTACACTGAGTTGTTCTTCATTTGAACCAGGGAAACTGCAGCCCTTTCCTAATTTCCTGCTCATTTAGAAAGTAATGGAAAACATAAAGGGCTTGGCCTCAGCTGGTGTAAATTGGAGGTGGCCTCATGAGCTTCCACAGAGCTACTTTGGTTTGAGACAGGCAAAGCTTTGCTCTGGGTATTATTTCCAGGTGCTGGGACCAGGAGGAGGAATTGTTTCTGTAGGCTTCAGTGGAGGAGAGGAGAAGAGCTTTCTCCTGCCACCTGGAACATGAGAGGGACAGCAGCTCATCTCTGCTTACCCAGCTGTCCGTTGCGGGAGTCGTCACAGCCACAGTTGTCAAAATCCCCCAGGCTGCAGTTCCGGGTCAGCGTGTACATGACCCCCGCAGAGCTGATGGCATGGACAAAAGCGGTTTCTCTGTTTGCTGTCAAGTGGGAATACAAGAAGAGCAGATGGGCTAAAGATTTCACAGAGACACCAGTGTCAGAAATTACTCCTGCAATGCAGGAGACTGGGTAGGAGGAGATCTGCAATGGGCAGGGCTTTGTGGGGTGGAGAGGATGCCCTACATGTTGGATTAGCTTAGTCTTGGCTTGAACTGCATGAAGACAGAAGCTCCCAAATTCAATCCAGACTGGCTCGTGCCATTCCCAAGGGTGTGGTTGAGTTTAGCACTTGGATATCCTTGTGGGAGCTCACCAGCGGGGATACAGTGCAGACAGCCAAACGTCCCCCATGTCTAACACCCTGGAGGGGAGGGGCCTTCCCCAAGGATCAAAGAGCTCATTCCCCACAGCACCCTCAAGCCTTCCATTCTGTTGGACACTGTCTAGGGCTCAGGGTAGTGTCCATACCTCCCCACCAGGATGAGCATGGTGATCATCAACTGACTTCACTGAGCCTTTGGCTTTCATTTAATACCAGCAAGGTCTGGATCTGAGCAGATGAACTTGATGGAAACCACTCAGGGACTGGCTCCCAGTCCTAGTGTTACTTTGTGCTGCAGCTGCCTCCTCAAGGCTCCACTTTGCAACCTCTGTCCACCCCTGCCTGGGGCCCTGGTCCCTCATCTGCTGCCAGACCCACCAGAGGCCTGAGGGTCTCCCCCATACACAATTCCTGCCTGTACAGGGCAGGTGTAGGCTCAGCCCAGCAATGTACATGGGTCTAGAGGACCAGATATGCACTGAAACATTTCCTGGCACCTGCAAACAGGTGAGGAATGGGACACAGTGACAATGACCACAACTCCACACCCTGCAGTGGCACAGCTCATGGGTGCTGGATTTCTGCCCAAGGTGACTCTGACATCTGGAAGCTGTGGAAAGACTTTTCTCCTGCTTCTTGGCCAGAGCACAGACACTGATGAACTCTTTCCTGCTCTGTTTAGCCATATCCCCCTGCTTGCCATCCCGGTGAGGAATGGGACACAGTGACAATGACCACAACTCCACACCCTGCAGTGGCACAGCTCATGGGTGCTGGATTTCTGCCCAAGGTGACTCTGACATCTGGAAGCTGTGGAAAGACTTTTCTCCTGCTTCTTGGCCAGAGCACAGACACTGATGAACTCTTTCCTGCTCTGTTTAGCCACATCCCCCTGCTTGCCATCCCACCAACCCATGTTGGTTCTCAGCCCCTCTGGGACATGACATGTCCAGCAGCCTGTGCCATGGGTTGTGGTGATGTATCCTTGTGGGGAGCCAGTTGTGTGGGGGTTGGTGGGGCACTCCTGTCCTGTGCCAGCTAGGGCTTGGCAAGTCTGGGGGTGATGTTGGTGTTTGCAAGGCTGCCTTATCTTGAAGCTGGATCCCAGCATGTGTCTGAGAGCTGATGGGTGAAGGGACCTGGTGGAAAGATCCCTCTGTTTGAGAGAGACTTCCCAGGTGGGGATAGAGAAGAAAAGGAGTCACTTGGGAAGAGAGGGGGGTCCCACGGGCTCTAACCTGTAGTGAGGGGGTGCCAGTAGTGGTATCCAATGCTTTCCTTACCGCTGCGCAGCCCGCTGTGGCTGGAGAGCTGCAGTGCCCTCTCGGGGCAGTTCCAGCGGTCCCAGGCGAACTGGAACTTGCACTCCTCGATGCCACTCTGTGCCCCGGCCGCCACGCTGCTAGAGTAGATGAGGTAGGCCTAGGATCAGAGCAGCAGGTCAGGAGGGGGCACGGTGTGTTCCCTGCTTCAGCCCCCCAGCACTAGGCATTAGTTTGCAGAACTGAATCAGGAGGAGTTGGCCAGCGAGCAGGGTAAGCTTCGTGGGCAATGGGCTGGGAACGTCCCCAGGCTGCTCCCAGGGCCCAGAAGAGCCACTCAGCAGCCTTCATTCCCATTGCAGGAAGTGCAAAGCTGGTGTAGCCCCAGCTGCTTCCCACACAGCCATGGGGCTGATGCAGGTGTAGCTTTCCTGCCCTGCACTGCACATCGTGGGTCCTGCTGCTCCCAGGCTCTAGATGGAGAAGCGCGGTGCAAAACACCAGGGAGAACATGGCCCCAGGCTCCCCAAGAGTCTGGCATTCAACTGAAAAGAATTTGCATGCCATCTTACAGAGACAAGATGTACAGAGCTGAGGAAGTCCCTCCGGCTTGGCTCCCCTGGGGAGCGGCGCTTGCCAGCAGCAGAAGAGAATGTATTTTCTGCGGTGCTGGTTCAGAGCCTGAGCCTCCAAGGGGGAGGCAGCCAAGGAGAGCTTTTGGCTGTTAGCCACATTAGGAGATGTGCCAGCCAGTCCTTGTGATGGGGAACCCTTTATCTCTCCAGTGTGAGAGGAGCAGTGCCGTCTCCTCAGAGACCAGGGAGGTCCAGGCCAGCAGGTGCCCCAGCCTGCCTCCTCCTTTACCACAGCCCCAGGGGACAGCCAGTGCTTTGGGGCAAGGTAGCTCCACCACAACATTAAGAACTGTAGCAAGAGCTTGAAGAGCTTGGGGTGTTCCTAGGGAATAGCCAGGAACAAAATTGGGTGAATTTTACAGCTGGTCCTGGCTAAGGGAAAAAAAAGGGGGTCAAAAACACTGAACAAGGTCCTGGCAATTCCAGCTGTGCTCCTTGGGGAAGGATATTTTGCAGGGCCTATAGAAAGTGCCCTTGGATGAATGCAGGTCCTGGTGCTAACCTGATCATCAGGAAGCAACAGATGATGGGTGAGATGCCCGGCAGCCCATGCCACTGGTGCCTATAGACACATCTCCAGAATCTGGCCCCAAGCAGCTTAAAAGGACCCCAGGACAGCTTTGCTTAGGGCTGATGCAGCCCAAGGAGCTGCAGATCATCGCAGGCCGTTCCTGGTCCTCCTTTCTTTATTGTATGAAACCTGGGGGTGAGGGGAGCTGTGGCCAAGGCAAGGCTGGATGGAGAGGAATGGGCAGGGGGAGCCCCTCCCTCCCTTCCTGGGTTTAGTGGAATCAGGGACAGAGATCAAAGGGATTTCTCTTACCTTGGGGCCCGTCATCAGGAAATTATTCACTGACCTGGAAGACAGAGACAGTGTCAGCAGGGAGGGGGTGATGGTGGTGGGGTCTGGGGAATGCCAGGCATCCCAGGCCTCTCCTCTCGCCCACTGCAGCCTGCCTGTCTCCTGGCTGCAGGCACCTTTGGTCTCTCCCTCTGTCTCCACTCACTGCTCCCTGCAAGCCAGGATGGTGCCTTCTCCATCTCCCTCACCCCACTCCCTCAACCAGGCTGCACCAAGCCTCACTACTCCCTCCTTTTGCTTTCTTCCACAGAGCTGCCCTTCATACCAATCCCCTATTTTTGTGGGGCTTTCCTGTGCTCTCAGCCTTGCTTTTTGCCTTACCAAGCTGCTGCTCAGCTTAACTCAGGCTAGTGTTGCTCCCGGCCCCAGAGCACCCCAGTTTGTCCCGCAGCCCCAGGGGACGAGCTGTGTGCCAGCACTGCTCTCCCCACAGGACCATACCAGGGAAGGAGGAGGTCACACCACTCCTCCTTCACAGTGTGTGTCCTGGCAGCATCCCCTCAGATCATGGTCCCTTCTTTCCCTGCTGTCCCAGCTCTGGCTGTCCACGCTCTCCTTTTGGTCATGTTAGGGTGATGGCTGAGCACAAACACACTTGTTCTTCCCATCCTGCTGGGCACTGTATGGGGAAGAGGGGGGTGTGAGTGAGGTGGTCCTAGCCAAAATTAAACTTTCTGGTGTTTTCCAACTGAAAAATGAAAAATTGAGATGAACAGTTTCCAAAGGTGCCTATTTGCAAGTATTTCTGTGAAACATTTAATTCTGGCACCATTCATGGTATAATGTTCTACTGAAAATGCCAGAGTCTGTTTTAGTAATCTTAAATTGCAGGCTTCTGCTCTGGGAGTCTCATGATCTCCCTCTTTGTTCTTCAGATCAGTAACTCCTACCTCTTGTATGGAAGAGGACACTGAGGCCAGAAAGGTGGCATGAGTGGATTGAGACCTTGCAATGAGTGAGTGATAGGGCAAAAGCTAGAGCATGCACTGGGAGACACTAGGCTCTTCAGCTTCCTCTTGAGATGATGTTCCTACTTCAAATGCTGGTCATCTCCCAGTGGAGGACACCTCTCCTTTTCAGCTAGTCTTAACCCACACTGTCCCATCAGCAGAGCTGCATGCTCTACTCTGCAGCTGGGCTATCAGGCGTGCAGTGATACTTGCTGCTTTTCTAGCTCCTCTCCATTCCCTGAAAATCCCAGTAGCTGGGTGGACCTTGGCTGGATGTGGGGGAGAAAGGTGCAGGTTTGGGTGTGGCTTTTTCTCCCTGTGTGTTTTCAAGCAATCTTGTCTGGAGCCAGAGATATCCCTGGTAAGGGAGAGAAAGGCACCGTCCTGTTGTGCTACAGATCCAGCACAGAGAGTGTGGGGGCATCCCAGGGTGGGCTCAAGTGCAGGCAAAAGCAGACACTGCGTCCCAGGCTGGAGGACAAAGTGTAGCCGTGCTGCAGCCCTGCTGTGGACACGGGGGCAGACAGGGTATAGCTTGGTCAAAACCTCAAAAAGCCTGGTCTTTGCTATTACTCACAATTTAGAAAAAGTTGAGAGAACTAGTTTGCAAAGTTTCACTTCAGCAAGCCTAACCTTTTTTTCTTTTTTTTTTTTTTCTTTTTTTTGTGGAAAAGTGTCTATGTTGGTGAATCTTCTGCTGGAAAGGATTCCCCTGGGCCAAAATGGGAGGGAGAGTGCTGTGCCAGGGCACTGCAAGAGCAGGAGATACTTTCCCTTTGTTCCAGACCCAGGATTCAGACCCAGCTGCTCTCCAGCCCCCATGGGTACTTTAGCATGAAGCCGATGGCGGTTTTGCAGAGGAATTTTCCTTTGGGAGCTGCTTCTGCATTGTACAGCTAATTAAATATTTCCTGGGACTCGGAGAGAAGGCATCTGTAGCCGAGTGATTAGAGCATCGGGTGACCTGAATCACACAGGGCCATGAACCTGGGGCTTTTCAAGACTGTGTAAGCTCCGTGGGTCCCCACCCTAATGCAACTGGGTAACAGCACGAACAAGTCATTTTTCCATCTGGTTTCCCTCCTGCCCTTTGCCTTGCCCTTAAGCACTTTGCTATGGGGACCACACTCAGGATGGTGCCAGTAGCAGCTGTGAGAAACTCTGGTAAAATGCCCCTATGTAGGCGAGATCTAGAGAATTCCAAGTCCTCTCTTGCTTTTGTGGCCACAACACATACATTCATCTGCAGTGCTTCCCACCTCGGTAGGAAAAGACAAATTCACAGTGTGCAGGAAGGGTTTGCTTCAAGCCCTTGCTGGCCTCATCTTGGATTAGGAACATCTGAACAGTTACAAGGGTGCCTTTAGGAGGCAGACAGTAATCCACAAGTTCAAGGTTTACAGCAGACCAGCCTGTTAGCAGGTGTCAATTGACATAACTGCATTGAAGCAGAGGATCTGTTCCTCCCAGGATAAACCTCAAGGTTCACAAAAAGGCCAAGTTCAGGATATGCCAATTCCCCATCTGCAGCTGAGCAAATGGTACAGTAGCAATTTCCCAGCAGGATATTCTAAACATTTTTATTAAGTCAGAGAGATAGAAGGAATTTTCCCTGAGCTCTCTGATCAACAGGCAGGCATGCTGCTGGGCGGGTTTGTAGGACTTAGGCAAGTAAAGGATTCATCTAAACTGGTATACGTGACCCCCCACAATTAACTCTTGCAGCTGCAAATGGATTCAGGAGACGGAGAGATGGGACTGTGATACGGCTGGAGGCCAGCTGAGATTTTTCTTATTGATGCTGAGAGGGAGGGAGGGAAAGATAACAATGGAGGCAAAATCTGGTGCACTTTGTCTTTGCTTGTATGATCTAGCTAAGAAAAATGCATCCATCTCTATTCTGGATATAGTCTCCAGCAAGGCCAGAGAGTAATTAAGCCACTTGTTCCATGGATGCAATGCAATATTGACAATGCCACTAGAGTCGTCTCTGTGCTGCAAATAGGAATCACTGTGAAAATTAATCTCTTTTAATTTTTGTCTCTGTAGTGTGATCTTTCTCTTTCTTTCTCTCTTTCTTTCTTTCTTTCTTTCTTTCTTTCTTTCTTTCTTTCTTTCTTTCTACTAATTTCCCATACAACCATACCACTCTAAAGGAAAGCAGAATGTAATCCTAAACTAACTAGCTAGCTGCAACCACAATGGGTGTAAACCAGCTCAATTCCCATGACTTTGGTGTCACCACACTGATCTAAACTTTTTGAAATCACACGCGTGAAATCATAGAATCATAGAATGGTTTGGGTTGGAAGGGACCTTAAAGATCATCTAGTTCCAACCCCCCTGCCATGAGCAGGGAACCCTTCCACTAGACGAGGTTGCTCAAAGCCTCATCCAACCTGGCCTTGAACACTTCCAGGGAGAAGTATCCACAGCTTCTCTGGGCAACCAGTGTCTCACCACCCTCAAAACACTTAAAATTATTTCTCTTCTCCAAGAAAGCTTGCAGGGTTTCTAGCTGTCTAAACCCTTTTCCCTTCACCTTCAAACTCCAGGACAGCATTACATGGACAGAAGTGGAGCAGAGACAGACATCAGCAGGGAGAGAGAGAGAGGAGTCCCACCGAGTTCTTCAGCCCCCTCCCCAGCCCACGCAGGGCCCTGGGCAGGACACACTGCTTCCCTTGCTGCAACTCTGAGCATCCAGGTAAAAAGCAAATCTAGGGCAAGTGATTTTCATTGCATCCAATATTAGGAAATTATCTCAAAGCTAATGACTATCTATAGCAGGAGCTCTCTATCATAGTTTTATTGAACCTGAAAGCAAATAACCCTGCCAGGCAGCTGTCCCATTATGTTTTACACATATCAAATACTAACAAGCCTCTGATAATTTCTGCTCAGTTACAACTTTAACCAATAACAGCACCTCACTCCTCACTTTCATATGCCTCAAGAGCCTTATTAAATCTACCATTAAAGTATTTGTTTGATACCTTATCACCCACTCATTCTACTGCACTGCTGGTTCTGCTCTTTAGGAAATTATAAAGCTGTATTTAGATCTTTACTGTCATTATTGTAAATATGGAAAATAGATACTTTTAATTTTGGATCTGAATTTTGTTCTCAAGTACAAACTCCACCAAGTTGTTAGAAAACCAGTGGCACTGGAAACTAGAGTCAATCCCATAGCTGAAATACAAAAAAAACCCCAAAAAACCATTTAGAAACAAGCTGCTGCATTAGAGTTTTTTACATTATTCTCACAGGATATGAGACCAGCAAGCAACTCATTAACATTTGGAGTGTTACTTTTTTTTTCCCCCTCTTAATTTATCTCTATTTTGTTGTATTTATTTGGTTTTTAGTTCCTAAATGCAACCCTGTCATTTTGCTGATCTAGAAACACGCTGACCATTCAACCTAGCTGACATGGCAGAATCTAATCCACACTCAGAGAAGGGAAGTGGCCATATATATATATATAT